GAAAAATAACAAAGGGAATAAAAAGGTGCACAGGGGATTTGGCCATATTTTACCATTAACCTCATCCAGCCTGTTGTATTAAGCTATGGCAGTATCACCAATGTAGGAACGACAGGTAAGAGAGCATTACACCTGAGAATTTATAGCTGGATACATTGTCACCAGCAAGGATCAATAAAGAGACCAAAAGACAGGGGTCAAAAAGCTCCTGAATGAAGCACATCTCCATCAAACGGTATGTGGGTTGTCTGATAAAAGATGTAGGTGGAATGTTTATCCAAAATAAGCTGACAGCTTGCATACTATTGGTAGAACTTGCATTTTTTTTCTTAATCGAAGCTTGAGGTTGTTTAGTTCAGTGACACAAAGTATCACATCAACAGATCATTGGGAAGCAAAGAAAAATGCCAAGCTTACGGTGCGTCTAACCTTAGCCTAAAATGTCTCGCTGTACTCAAAGGAGGAGGCAGAATAGTAATGGGGTAGTTTTACAGTATAGTGACAGATTAGGCTGCGAAAACAAATTTAATAACATTGTATAACCGTTAAATATTACCCCTAGATTTTCGAGAAATTGGTGAGAAAAAGAAAAATGAAAGAAGTAACCCATGTAAAAGAGCTGTGAGTATAATTTTGCAAACGGCAAGTCATGGTGCTGGTAATCTGATGCGAGGGCAGCTAAACTTCCCCAAAGGAGACAATAAATCAGTAAATGTGATCGGCAATGTGCAATCAATCACTGCTGGAAATATAAACCACAGCATAGAGAAAACCGTTTACAACCAACAGTGGACGTAGAAGATCTGGCACTGCGAGAAGAGACGGACAGGACATCCTCAGCAGGGGAGTATTATGGAGGGAGACCTAATGATAGGACAGGCAAGTTTACGCTGCTCTTATTTTTGCTACATGCCTGTAACACTGTTATTCAACGAGAGGATATATTATTGCAGGCCTTTATCAGACATTCGAGCTCGGAGCTCACTATCCACATTGTGGGGCTGTCTTCTCTACTGAGACGCAGGACTGAATCATATACACATTTTTTATTTCAGTGATATACACAGTATTCCCTATTTTTAGAGCTGTATGCATTTATTTGTGTAATCCTGGTTGATTTGTGTCAAGGAGGACACTTTATTCAGATATTGTGCAATAGTAAAGTCTTGGTTTGGGGTATTTAATCATGGTATTCCAAGGGGTGTATTTCTTGACTTGCAACTTTTTAGTTTATATCAGCGCAACTTGTCTTATTACACATTTATTCAGTGGCTACCTATCTGGGCAAAAACTGCAGTGAGTGTTCTCTATAATGGTTATCCTGACGTAGGAGCTGAACATGCACTATATTTCTATATATCTAGACAATCAAACCGTCAAAAATATGAAAGCTGAAACGGACAGGTGCATGATTTGACCATGTAACTTGCAAAAAGCCTGGAGTAACCATACACTGCATGTACTGCTGAACTTGTATACATAGCTGAATTTAAATTACACTAGAAGAACCAAAACAACTTTAATGTAGTGGATTTGTATATAGATCATAACCACTCAATTCACTGCCATCTAGAATTTGTTTATACAACTCTAGTCACTCCTCCCTGCACGTGACTTACACAAGTCTCCCTAAACACTTCCTGTACAGAGAGGTCTAATATTTAAAGTTCCTTTATTGCACAGTTTGTTTTTAAATTTAGAATTTCTTATCTCCTACTCTGCTAATAGCCTGCAGTAGTTTGTGTTCAATTAACAGAGCAGGGGCGTAAAATGTCTAAAGTAAACAAACTGATTGGAAATGAAACCATTTTTTTCATGCAGGCTATATCAGTCACAGATAGGGGAAGGGTGTCTAGGACTTTATAAACAGAAACAGAAGTGATTTAGCTCCTAAATGGCAGAGAACTGAGCAGTGAGACTGCAGGGGCATGTTCTATACACCAACACTACTTAATTAAACTAAAGTTGTTTTGAGACCATAGTGTCCCTTTAGGTGGTGTTTTTTTATTTATTTTTGTAAATGAACTAGCCTGCATCAAAACAAGCTTGAAAAGAAAACAAAACCTCTAAATTCAGGTAAACTCGTGAGTTCAACAGAGCAAAAATATGTATTATCATTAAAAATAACCATTTCTGTCAGCAAATAGGGAGATAAATGGACACATGAAAATAATCGAAATATCCCACAGATTAATGATCTAGGTTGCTCTATGATGTCTACATTTGCAGAGTGGTTGTGGATGGTGTGAACAACATTAGATTCACAGCATACTGAGCTGGTTAAATATTTAACTTTGACATAGTAATGCATTCCTTTTAACATTCCCACAAGTAAGGAAATAAAGGGACACTCTAGGCACCATAATCACTTCAACGAGCAGCAGAGAGGGGCCAGACTGCAGGTGCCGAGAGACCATTTTTTTGTGTTTAAAAACAGGAACACTGATCAGTGGGGTGGTGCCAAAAAAAAAAAAAAAAAAAAGATTACCTACTCTAAAAGGTATTTATAAATCTATTAACCAGATACAAAGTTTGTGGCTAACCACTGTCGCCAAGTACCATGCCCACTGCTCATTCGTATGTTTTCCCCTGTGTAGTGTACATTTCCCCATCGATTCCTATGTATTTCGTATAATATGGCCTGTCGACCAATCGGGAGCACCCATGCGAACTAAACCTGTTAGTCTCCCGAACGCAAACCATTAGAATGTTCGCACCAATCAATCAGAACGTTCACACCAGCAACATAAGTGTGAAACCGCAAGGGAAGTAATTAATGAGTGCTCCCCTGTGTGGCCGCCATTTCATATGGGTGAACGCCAGCCAGGTGGAGCATTTGTATACCGAAAGGAGACACTTCCCTTGCGGGGTCTTCACCCTGGCACTCCACGAACTGTTCCCTGAGGTTGGTGGAGACAATGTTGCTGGTGGTTCGGATCGCCGTCCCTGCTCCTAACGGAGCTATAATCACCGCTTTCCCCCCCCATAAGTGGAGGCAGCCACCGGAGAGAGGCACAAGCCCGAGGGGCTGTGAGCCAGCTTCACAGCCACAGACTCCTGCTAGCCACCTGGAAGTCTGTGCCGACCAGTCAGGAGAGGGAGCCCCCATTTTTAATCTGGGTTTGCGCCATTCTCCTGATGGGTCGGCATGAGTGAGCGCTGATTGGTCGCTGCGGGGCGCAAGGGACCAACCAGAGAAGGAGTGCCCATTCAAATGGGGTTTCGCGCCCTATCTCCTGATTGGAGAAACCCCTTTCTTCCCTGAGCGCTGATTGATTTTGAGCCTTTCAGCTAACTGGCCGTTGATTGGTTTAGGCGCGAAGTATGAATTCACTGGCCTAAACCAAGCAACGCTGTGGAACTGATTTTGGGGATGTACAGAGCCTCAAGCCCCAGACTTTATACGATGATTTCTCGGGCTCTGTACATCCGATAGCCTCGCTATTTGCAGGCAACCTAGAGGGGCCCGGGGCTATCCAGGGATGTATGTTTCATGTGTGTACCCCATTCCCTTCCAGGGGCGCGGAGCCCCTAAGTGTTCCCCCATATATGTAATGTGTTTTACTGTTTGTAATATGTTTTAACGCATGGGTCCTCAAACTCCGGCCCCCCAGATGTTGCTGAACTACAACTCCCATGATTCTCTGGATATCTATGTAATTCAAAGAATCAACGGAGTTGTAGTTCAGCAACATCTGCGGGGCCGTAGTTTGAGGACCCATGTTTTAATGTATGGAACTGTGTCCTGTTGGTATATCACCCAGAGCGGGAGATGATTATCTGCAACCCACCCCCCTTCTCCTGCCTGGGATAAAGGATTGTGTTGAACTGCGGGGGTCTGTGCTCAATAGCTGTGTGTACCAATAAAGGATTGTCAGTGTCTTTACCTTCAGAACTGTGTGGCGTTCAGTTACTGGGGGATGGATGCCTGCTTGTTGTAAGGGTTCCTGAACGGCTGAAGGAATGATTTAGCAGAGGTAACCAGTCGGGTTACCAGGGGGTCCACTACAAAGTTCATTAAAAAAATTACTTTCAAAAGCCTCCTTTAGTGTATGCACAATTAGAGAATACCTAGAAAGGTAAATCATGATTGTAAAGGTTATTGGGTTTACTCACCATTTACACCCTTTAAGAAAATTCTCAGACAGAGCCGAATATTCCTTCCAGGCGCCAGTTAGTTGCCATGGCTGGTGAGAGAAGTCATAGGAAGCCGAACTGAGAGAGAGAGAGAGAACAATTAGAAAAGTATTTAAACTTAGGGGACTTGACCTGCATCTTTCCCTAAAAATGTAATCTGCTCCAAGAATTTTTAAGTTTTAAAAGTTGCTTCACCAGATGCCCAAATTGGCACACTGACTTTTCAAATTCAATTGGTGAGTGCATTCTAATTCTAAAAAGATTGTAGGTGAAACAGAACCAAAATAATCACTAGGGGATTACCAGAGGGACACACAATATAGGTCAGTCAAGGGGAAAAAATAATTCAACTAATAATTTGACCCAATTCCTGCTACTCAGTTGTCAAACTGCTGACACTATCATTCTAAATTAGATATAAACATGGTTTTAAAGAGTTGATACTTTAGTGAATTAGTTGAGCCTTCACCAACACTTCACTAATGGAAGGCAGACACTTAACAGGTAATTCCAGGCATCGTAACATCTACCATTAAAGAATAATAGCCCAGAATATTCCGATCTGGCTGATTTCCCTATCCAGTAATAAAACATTTATATATGATATCGTTCATACACATATTGTTCCTCTGCCATCTGTGAATCTACAGATTCCAAAGGTGTCACCTCCACGTCCTCATCCGCAGCATTGGTGACGTTTCCAGTGGTCTCTTCGGTACAGATCTCACACACAGGGACCTGCTTGTCAGGGGAAGATATATTTATTGATGGGTCCTGAAGACAGAATTCTCTCTCTTCCCCTTCCCTCTCTTCTTGAATCTGTTCCTTCAAGGCCAACATATCTTCATTCAAGTCTTCATTACTAGTTGTGCAGATTATACTCTCCTGTCCAGCCACGGTTTCCATTCCCTTACTATCCGCATCCACATTAACAGATTGTCCTTCATCAAACCAGATTTCATCCTCCGTTCTATAAACACTGCTTTCCATCCCCTGCACACAACTCTCAACCTCATTAGCAGAGGAGATTAAATGTTCTGATTCCAACAGTTCTTTGTCATGGTCTTTCATGGGATCGTGGATCTCTGCTCCCATATCACCATGTACATCCCCAGGAGCCGTATTTTGGTTTCCTGTATTCACAACTACATTCAAATCCTCAATGTGACCGCTGCATCTGTCATCAGATTCATTAGATCTGCTCTGCTCCATCAGTTTATCGTCTACCCTCTCCAAATCCTTCATTTCCACTGCATCCATACAAACGTCTTCGGATCCTTCCATCTTGTATTGTCCTTTGTTTATAATGCCAGCATACCCTAAAGGTCCCGTAGCACCAAGTTATGACACCTATAAAACAAAACAAAAAAAATTATATGATTACAGATTAATAAGAAACTAAATTCAAACACCAACGATCACCACCGAGGAGGTGTACTACATATTATATATGTAAGTATCTGAGGTGTTTATGTACTAATCTGCGAACGATGGGGAACAAATAAGGGGACAGCTAATTTTTAACCAAAATTGCAGAAATTAAGATTCTTTTCCAGTTTATTTTGCCATGAAATGTGCATCTATCCTCTTCCAGTTCAATGAATAAACTATTTGGTGTTACTGGCCTAAAGACTAGCTGACATGTTCAATGAATTTAACTGAGGAGGTAGACAGTCAGTGAACCCTTGGTGACGAGTGGCAGACCCTATATCGGTTTCAGTGTTCTGATGGTTTTAATCCCTTGCTACAGGTAATCTGTGCCCAGTACACACCGTGGCCGTCACGTGCTTGGATAATGCTTCACTAGGTTGCAATTTACCAATACAGCTTTATTACCCCATACTGGCTGGAAACAATCACAGGATTTATATGCTTTAGCTGTCAGTTGTTGCTCAGCCCTGGGGGCTAGTTATCAGAGTTAACTAAAGACTAATTAGCGTCAAAGTTTGATACTCGTCAGTAGTGTGACACCAAATATTATAATATTGTCTCTGGGAGCAAGCAACGAGGGATGGCAATACGAGGGCATGCCTCCAATTTGAAGTTTCCCCAAAGGTATACATTCACTGCTGCTGTGTGCGGACAAGGCCTGTAAAACGCACAATTCAAATTCAACATGTGAAGGGGAAAAAATGGCAGCAGGATTTGGGATAAACGGGGCACTTTAAAAGACTCAAAACGCCAATTAACTAATAAGAATATTTTGTAATACATAATTCAAGATTTTAAGTCATTTCAGACAAACTTAAGTTTCCAGTTTAATTTCAGGTAGCGCTAGCACAAGGCAACTGTGCGCACGCACCACTGCCACCTTCGCCGTGTGTTCTCGGACATGAATTACATCTTTATGATGGTGGGCAGTTCATGAAATGTGCTACCGAGATCAGGAAACAATGTACCTACAAACAAATCTCTCTCTATCTATCTAGATAGAGAGAGAATTTGAACGTGATTTCTGCATGACTGTAACCAGGTGTAGATGTAACCAAGGGTCATCAAACATTGCTTTAAACAAACTGACTGGAAGTGGATTCTCCTGGGCAGAAACCGACATTAGGTGGATAATGTAACTATAATTAAGTGTTCTTGCATAGCAAGACCTCTTAATGTTATCTCACATATATTATTATAGCCAAATTTACCACCCTAACTCCTCCAACAGTTTTTACACTACATAGACAGTAATATACCGAAACATGCGGATTGTTCCAGATTGGTGTGCTATTACTTTGTGGAACGTTTCGCTGAATGGTTCACGGAATATCGTCATTTTTGTGGCAAAATTGGTCCCATAGGAATGAATGGCAAAATGTTCAAAACTAGAGTGGGAGCTGGCAAAAGCTGAAAAATCAGGACATGATTTCTAAACTGCCACCACTCCCTTATTTTCAGGCCCACCTACACAAATCTTATATCAAAACGTTCAGCTATCCCTCCTGCCACTAAACATGTCAACGGCTAAGCCGTAGTCCTGATAGTTTTCACAATATGACAATTTGTTTGCAATTCACGCCGTCCATTGACATTCATTGAAACTCCACTCTAGCCACCTCAAATTTGAAAGGCAATTTCTAAACTGCGACTGTGCCTTCATTTTTAATGTTTCAGAGACATACTATGCATCAAAATGTAGGTCTGGGTCTTGTGATTCTCACAATATAAAGCTCTTCACTGTAGGAGTTATAGTTTTTAAGATACGACCGTTAGAAGATGGCAACCACCAAAATACTCTGACCTGTCAAGGCTGCAGCAGCAAGTGATGTCATAGACAGGGCCTTTTGAACACCTGCTAATGTTTTTTATAAATGTATGGTTTAACCCCTTAAGGACTGGACTGTTTTTGCGATGTTGCACAAATCTTGCAAAACGTTTCAGCTATGTATTTCCCTCCTGCCATGTTTTTTTACTTTTACTTGAACATCATCTACAAAAACGGCTCCTGAGCCGTTAGTCATGTTATGATAGGTGTTTTCATCAATAGTGACATTATGACAATTTGTTTGCAATTCACGCCGTCCATTGACATTCATTGAAACTCCACTCTACACCTCAAATTTGAAGGCAATTTCTAAACTGCGACTGTGCCTTCATTTTTAATGTTTCAGAGACATACTATGCATCAAAATGTAGGTCTGGGTCTTGTGATTCTCACAATATAAAGCTCTTACTGTAGGAGTTATAGTTTTTAAAATACTGACCTGTGTTGAAGGTGATGCCACCGTAAAATAATTGACATTCCTGGGCTACCATACGCTCTCAAAGGCAACGTACTGGCCTTTTGAATGTAAAAAATGTTTTTACCTAAATGTTATATATTTGACCTAACTGTGCAACAAATAAAATATTCAAAATGTGTCATGTAAATATAGTTTTACTCCGAGACATCACCAATACCAATTAGTGTTTAAAAACTGGAAAACACAATCACCCAATTATATCATCAGTAAAACTGCTGTTTGTGTGTGAAAAATGCAAAAAAAGTAACTTTCACTGACAATATCATCGCTGTGATATGTTTTACTGTTTTGAATCACTAATATTTGTGTTCAGCGAAGTCTCCCGAGTAAAACAGTACCCCCCATGTACAGGTTTTAGGGTGTCGTAGAACGTTACAGGGTAAAATACAGTGCTAGCAAATTCAATTCTCTGGAATTTCGGCCTGGGTTGGCAGGCAGGTCCCTTAAATTGCAATCAATAAAATTACTGAATTATGTAAAACTATTACATAAATACGCACGTAGAATTTAAATATATATGCATATTTATATATTTGAAGTCTACGTGTATATTTATATAATTATTTATGTAATTTTGTATATGGACGTATGTATATTTCTTATTATTTTTATTTATTTTTATATACATAGATATATATACAAATTCATTCTAAGTGTATTTTGATATAAATATATATATATTAATTTTAAAATACAGTTAGAATAAAATTTCATATAGCTATATAATTTTTTTTTAATTTTTTATTATTTAAAAAAAAAATTATTTAATTTAAATTACTTATTATTTATATTTTATAATATATATATACACAATATATATAGTTATTATATATATACGTGTGTAATTTAATTATAAGTGCATTTTTATATTAATATAAGTACATATTAATATAAAAATACACTTAGTATGGCATTATATATATATGATATATAGACATATATTATATAGATATAATATATGTCTATATATCATATATACACCTATATAATTATTTATTTTTTATTAACATTAACTTTATTTTTTTTTTACTGATTTTACACTAGCAGGGAGACTGCCTGTCAGCACAGACAGTCCCCCTGCAGGTAGACACCTATTGTGACCATGTGATCGCTGTGTTAAGCGATCACATGGCCACAGGGGTCCTAATCTGCCGTGGGGAGACTGTCTGGGCTGCAGGCAGTCTCCCCACAACCGGAGCCACGCTGATCGCCGCCGGGGGAACGACGGCGATCAGGTAAGTAGCTCTGACCGTTAGGACGGTTCAGGACCGTCATCGGTCGGCAACGCAAAAATGCCGATGACGGTCCTGAACCGTCCTCGGTCCTTAAGGGGTTAATGTAACTGTGCAACAACGTTGCAATTAAATGTGCTATATAAATGATAACAGTTACTCCGCCCACTCCAGTTGTAGACTACTGGTGGAGGCAAGAACACTTCACACAATTTCCCCAGAAATTGTAACTTTTCTAGTTATTATTATACACTCATATTATTATAATATTCTTATTATATTATTATATATTGTATTATTATTATTAATTGTTATTATATATTGTAATTATATTATTTAGTATTATATATTATTATCAGTCTGTCTTAGTATTATTATATATTTATTATATATTATATTAATTATTATTATTTATTATTATCAGTCTGTCCCTGCATTGTCCAATGGCACAGCCTGTGTGCTCCCACAGACTCCATGTACTCAGGCATGCTGCCATCATGGACTCCAACTCCCAGCATGCTCAGCAGGCAGTGCCCCCTCTCTCCCATGATGCTGTGCCGGTGTTGGGGCCCGCGCGCTGTGGATGAAGGCCAGGCCAGTTACCGGTTGCTATGGCTCTCAGCTCCCAGCACAGCGTGTCCGTCTCCGGCAACCCCGCAACCGCGCGGGAAAGGGAGCTGGCACCTGCTGGCCAATCCGATCCCGCTATTCTGGGAGGACGGCTGCAGCAGCCAATAGGAGGCTAGCATGTGCTGCCCGGGGAACCAATAGCGAGTCAGGAGGCGGGACATTAAACAGCCAATAGGGTGACAACGGAAAGGGCGGGAACAGAGAGCGGTAGGATGATAGAGATTCCAGGATGCAGAGATAGACGGCAACAGGAAGAGGAGCGGCGGACATCTTTGTTATGGGCAACTCATTACAAATCTTACTTGGTCACAAAGACAGCACGGTATCGTGGCTCAGAGGAAGCAGCCATGGTTAGAATAGTCAGGACATAGTTTATCATAGGGATTGAGAGGACACTGGAGCGCCTTTATTCAAAGAGCCTTTATTCAGAGTGCCGCCATCTTTGTTTAGGGCAAACAGAAGAGTTGGTGAATATCATAGAGACTGGAGGGACCTGTGAGATAGAATGTCCCAGGGAAGAACCACACTGCCATCTCTTGGTAACTAGTAAATGTACTCCAGCCACCTGCAAAGTGTGTTATTCCAATTTTTTTAGGCCAATGTGTATGTAGCCAAGCTGGAAACAGCTGCCTTACAGGCAGAATGTGCGCAGTTTGGTAATATTGGCATAAAATGGTCAATTCCACAGAGAATTTACGGTTTAGCAAATAACCCAATAACCAGGCACGAGTATGATAACGTGATCATTTATAGGATAACGTGGAGATACAATAGCTACTGGTTGGACTGATTCATTTTCTGGTAAAACCAAAATATTGCAGAAATATGACAAACCTGCCTGATATTGCTTCTGTTTGTTGCAGGAGGGATTGCATATTAAAGGCATACTCTAAGCACCATAACAACTACAGGATGACCGACAGGAACTTTTCAATCTGTAAAGGGTTTGACAGTAAAACCTAGGATGGCGCCACAGGACACCTAGCCCCATAACCTGGGATGGCGCCACAGGACACCTAGCTCCATAACCTGGGATGGCGCCACAGGACACCTAGCTCCATAACCTGGGATGGCGCCACAGGACACCTAGCTCCATAACCTGGGATGGCGCCACAGGACACCTAGCTCCATAACCTGGGATGGTGCCACAGGACACCTAGCTCCATAACCTGGGATGGCGCCACAGGACACCTTGCTCCATAACCTGGGATGGCGCCACAGGACACCTAGCTCCATAACCTGGGATGGTGCCACAGGACACCTAGCTCCATAACCTGGGATGGCGCCACAGGACACCTAGCGCCATAACCTGGGATGGTGCCACAGGACACCTAGCGCCATAACCTGGGATGGTGCCACACCACACCTAGCGCCATAACCGGGGATAGCGCCACAGGGCATCTACCGCCATAACCTGGGATGGAGCCACAGGACACGTACCACCATAACCTGGGATGGTGCCACAGGACACCTAGCGCCATAACCTGGGATGGTGCCAACGGGATACATGGCACATGCTCTGTAACCTGATAAAACCATATCCTAAGGATATTGGTCATACATTGAATATTCCCAGGAGAAATGGAGTACCTGAAGCACACATAACATTCACTGAATCTGGCCTGGACAATTCAGTTTAATCTCCTTCTGATTGCAAGTAATATTGTGATCAGTGACACTTGGGAGGTGCGCTGTAATACTAAGTATGAGATGGGATCCTGAAAATTGAGCCTATCCTACCGGTTCAGGTACACTTGGGAGGTGCACTGTAATACTGTAGCGGTACTTACCCTCTCCGGGGGCCTGCCGAGTTCCTCTGTTCCCGCCGTGCGCGGTCCTGCATCTGCAGGAGCAGCGCGCGGCTCGTCCGACGGAGTTTACAGGAAGATGGGCACTGACCGCGAGACGCGGTCACGTGCCCCGTCTGGCTCTAAGAGTGCGCCGCGCGTCTCGGGTGCGCTCTTAAAGGGACAGTGGGAGCCAAAATGTGAAACGATCTCCCATTGGCCCATGTCATTCCACATTCCCCATACACTCTCTTTTTGGGGGCGTGGATATGACAGGGGCCAATCAAATTGAACACTAGGGTATTTATACTCACCTTTCCCTTAGCTCCCTGACCTGTCGTGGTTTCTGATTCAGTTCCCTTTAGTGCTTGTATCATTCAGTAGTGGTTTTTTCGTGCTTGACCTTGGCTTTGTATATGACTTAGTTTTTCTCTTTATCCCTGCTTTGTCTTGTTTGCCGGCTTCCTGACTCCTGTGTACGAGACCTTGGCTAGTTCTTGTTTTCGCTGTCTCTCTGTTCCCTTGACCTCGGCTCGTTCCTGACTCTGTCACTTCTCTGTACTATGTTGAGTCCGGCCATTCTAAGGCCCGGTAAGACGTATCTGCTTTATCTTGTCTCTTGTTGAACTAAATCTTGCATGTTGGGGTACACTACAGTGACAAATACTGAGTATGAGATTGGATCCTGAAAATTGAGACTATCCTACCGGTTCAGGTACACTTGGAAGGTACGCTGTAATACTGAGTATGAGATGGGATCCTGAAAATTGAGACTATCCTACGGGTACAGGTACACTTGGAAGGTAGGCTGTAATAATAAGTATGAGATGGGAACCTGAAAA